TATTTCTAAGCCACTGGAGGTTTTTAAATAAGAAACCAGCACGATCTGATTTAAGGATTTAAATACTCATGTGCTTGAATGTCTGGAGAATGGATTGTAAGGGGAATGAACGGTGTAGTAATGGATGTGAGGAGAGCAATTAGAGTCAAGGTGACCTTAGATAAGTCTTTTGATCTCTCTTACCCTCAGTCTCTTCCTCTGTAAGATGAGGATAAGAAAACTCCCATAAGGGATATAATGACCGCATCACCCCCAATGCAAAGTAGGGCCCCATTCAATACGGTCCTCTGTTTTCCAGGTGAAGAGCCCCAAGATGCCTCACTTGTGTTAAATTCCTCTTTCGGAACAGAAACTTTGATGGGCTTTGCTATTAAAACTCTGAGACTTTGGCTGATTGCACGAGGTGTCCAGAGACATCCCTGTCAATTAGAACGAAGACAGTTAAGTGATAGCAACATGCATTGGATTTTTCCTTTGCTTGGAACTTACAGCCTGTTAGGGAGGCGTGTTTGCCCGGGAGGCACAGAGTCGTAGCATGGGAGCTGTCGTCGCGGACAGCTGTGGGTGCCCGGTGGAGCGGCTGACTGTACGAGCAGCTGTTCTCCAGGAAGCAGTCCCTGCCTCTCGTAATAGGCAAATCCACCGACGAAGCTGATGCCAGTCTGGGCGCTTCCGAGCAGCGGCCATAATGCGGCAACTGCTCTGCACACACACGTGATCTTATTTCTAGACAAATGCGAGCGACTCTCCAGGGATGTGCTTTTTCTTTTACGGCTGTGCCAAGTGTATTTCGTGAAGTCGTGATGCCTGGTTGGAGACTGTGTTTTTGTTTTCCCGCCAGTGTGAACGGTTGCAGTGTAATGTTCAGAAAGGTCAGCTCAGGACCCTCGAGAACACGTACCATGGACTCATGTCAAAGATTTTGTTAAACGGATCTGTTAAGGAGAGAACCAGGAAGATGTTCAAACTGGGTCAGAGAGCCTTTAAGAATCCAGGTAGCCACAGGCAATTGAATAACGATTATTAAATCTGGTTAAAGTCTGACAAGGTAATAGACCGTAACCGTTCAGGTTCTTTTCTTACTATACAGAGATTATTATTAACTAGAAAAAAAATCTACAAAATAACAGAGAACTTCACTAAATCCTGACCTTTAATTTGTACTTTTTTTCCCTAAGATTTTATTTATTTATTTGAGAGAGAGAGAATGAGAGAGAGTGAGCGTGAGAGGGGGACGCTCAAAGGGAGAAGCAGACTCCCCGCTGAGCAAGGAGCCTGATGTGGGACTCGATCTGGGACTCTGGGATCATGACCTGAGCTGAAGGCAGATGCTTAACGACTGAGCCACCCAGGCGCCCTAATTGGTACTCTTTATAAGAACCAACAATTCTCTTCCCTCTAAATGCTCCAGCTCTGCTAGACCCCCAGGCTGGAAATGCACTTGCACCACATCCATGGGGCAGTCACTGAGTGAGCAGACTAGCCAGGTCTTGTGGCCCATCTTTTGGACATCGTGGTGGTCATTCCCATCAAAGGCCACCTAATGGGATGGGCAGAGAGTCTCAGAGACCCTCCTTTTTATCCTACTCTAGAAAGAAACAGGAGCTCTCATCTCAGCTGTGTGTCCTTTTATGCACACAGGGCCCTTATCCACCCAATTCACTCAGAAAGCCACCAATAAGCACCTGCCATGTGCCGGAAGTTGGGGATGTGATTAGAGTGAGGAAGGTGTCCTCTTCCGGAGTCGGTCCTCTAGCCCGGACATAGACACCGAAGAGATGATCATCACCTACTTAACGAATTATATGCCAATGTCATCAGTCCTGACACGGAAAAGCATTGAGCAAAAAAAAATGGAGAGAACTAGTGTAGTCTGAAGGACTCTGGGTGTCAAGGAATCCTTCTGCCAAGTAGGGACATCTAAGAGGAGTCTGGAAAGATGAGTGGGTCTGGTTCGGCACACAGCTGCTGACTCTCAAACAGAGGCAGCAGCCTGTGTGAGAGACTCAAGCCCACACAAAGGGTGTGCTCCTGTGGGGCTGATGAGGAAGTGCTACCACGAGCCCAGAGATGTGGGCGGGAGTGGGATCTCTCAGGGCCCTGAAGGTTTGGACAGAGCACGGGCTACGGGGGAGCCGTGGAAAGCTTACAGAGTGGACCACGACATGATCAAAATTGGTATCTCCAAACTCAAGCACACAGAACAGTGCTGTAGCTCATAAAATTTCAGCCAAGGTCGGCTGCCCTTATCTAAGGAATTTGTAGGTGGCCAAGGGGACACTTCATGAAGTCCCTCACACCCCGGAGGCGATCGGTGTTTATTAGCCCTAACTGGGCTCTCTGCTTTTCCGTGTAATCCAACACACTCACTCTGCCTACAATCGGTGAGCTTTGCGTCACCCCTCTCAGGGGAGGGTTTCAAGGATGGAAGAGGAGAGGCCCACTGACACGAATGTCCTTCACAACACACACACCTCTAATGCTTCGGGACTGTGTACCTTCTTTTTATTATTATTTTTTTTAATTAAAGATTTTTATTTATTTATTTATTTGACAGAGAGAGAGAGAGATCACAAGTAGGCACAGAGGCAGGCAGAGAGAGAGGGGGAAGCAGGCTCCCTGCTGAGCAGAGAGCCCGATGCGGGGCCCCATCCCAGGACCCTGAGATCATGACCTGAGCCGAAGGCAGAGGCTCAACCCACTGAGCCACCCCATGTGTTTCTTCTTTTTAAAAATGAGTTGATTGCCAAGAATGTGTTTAAAAAAAAAATCTCAAGTTTCCATGACAAAGATTTTAAAACAAATGTACCATCCAACCAAGAGCTCGTGCCGAGGGTGATGGGGTGTGAGGAAGTGGGCTGTCTCGTTCACAGTGGATGGAAGGGTACATGGGTCAGCCGTGTCTGAGGACAATCAGGGCAGGGGGCGTCCTAAGGATTTCAGCCCCCTGGGCATTTCTCTGTGGAAATAAATAAGGAGCGTTGCAAATATCTAGCGAGAAAGACGATCTTCTCAGCACTGTTTGTAATAACTTAAAAATGGAATTAGCTATTCCTCCAGAACCAGGAAGAGCAACCATGTTCATCCTTACAATGGAAAACAGTGTCACTGTTTAAAAGGATACTGAGTGAAGGAAGCTGCTCATGGACATGGAAAAATGTTCCTAACCTACTATTAAGTGAAAAAAAAAAAAAAAGCAGATTGTAAAACCATGCATGAGGTTTTTAAAACACAACTGACCCTGCGCATAATAGGAACGAATAGACACAAGATCCAAGAGGTGACGACCCCAAGGAGTGACAGTGGTCATCTGTGGCAGGCACTTCTGTGTTCTTCTATTTGCTTATCATTACTTTGTACTCTCTCTGTCCTGAACGTTTACTGCTTTTGTAGTAAGAAGAGAGCTCCAGGTACAGGATCTCCTGGGACCTCAACTGCAGTAGATTTAATATGGGATTATCAGTGTCTGCACGCAGGACCTGACTCTACTTATGCTTCTTGGATTTACACGCAATAGTATTTCTCTAAATGCAAAGAGACCTCACTGTGTGCTTAAAACGATACTTTTCCGCAGCTGGACCTCCAATTCCGTTTTCGTAACAGAAAGACTTTACGCAAAAAAATAAATAAAAAGCAATGCTCCCTGACAAACATAATGGGATAGAAGGTCAATTTGCTTTGTCTTATTTATAAACTGTATGTACTAGGAGCTAATGACTATCAAAGGCATAATTAACTAAATTTAGTTGAAGAAAGAAAAAAGCAACCAGAAGGCTAAATACCAAATGGTCTGAAAAGTTACCTCCGAGTGGTGGGATTATGGGTAGTTTTCACCTCTTTTTGCTTTTCTGAATTTCCTAATTTTTTTGTGAAAATTGTGCATTGACGTAGTAACAGGTGGTCATGTTAAAACCCCGAGAAACAAACTGTCTTCATGTAATTACAGTAACAAAATCCATTAAGAAGGAGGCTTACCCATTGCTGTCCCTGAGGCAGGACCGTGTGTGTGGCTTACAGGGAGAGAATGAATCTGAGAATTAGGGAGACTGACTGGGTTTCTTTCTTACTTTTTAGGATTTTACTTATTTATTAGAGAAAGAGAGAATGAACATGGGTGTGGGGAGGGGGAGAGGGAGAAGGACAAACGGATTCCCTGCTGAGCGCAGAGCCCGACACGGGGCTCAACCCCAGGACCCCGAGATCATGACCTGAGCTGAAGGCAGATGCCTAACGCACTGAGCCACCCAGGCGCCCCTGACTGGGTTTTGATCCTGGTTATGTGGCCACAGACTAGTCACTAACTCCCGTGTCTCTCCTTCCTCACTCCCCCGCTAATGAAGGTCGACTGAGCATCTCCCAGGCATCTGAATCTGCGTTTGATGTTGGGGACCGAGCAGCAAATAAGGGAGATATGGTGGCAGCAGTCATGGAACTTAGAATCCAGTTCAGGAGAGAAATAACAACAACCAGACACAGAGCACCGTGATCATTAGGACAGTAAACAGCCTTTACCAAGCACCTGCTAATGGCCAGGCTCTGTTCAGTGAGCTTTACATACATAATAGCTCTTTTCATTCTTGCCACCACCACCCCCCACCCCGCCCCGGGAGATATTATCACTAGTCCCATTTAACAGACAAGGAAACTGAGGCCCAGAGAGAGTAGTTAATTTGCTCAAAGGCCCACAGCTAAGAAGTTGCAGAGCCAGGATTTCAATTCCACTACGTGCTCTGCTGCGCTGACCCACGCAGCTCGTGGTCATCACAAGTGGAAACAGGGCCCTGAGAGCACATTCAGGAGACTCGACAAGTTAGACTGCCCTGAGGACAGGACATTTCACCAGAGTCCCCAAGGATGGGTCAGAACGAATCAGGCAAAGAGGAGGGACAAGAGCCTGTGGGGTCAGGGAAACATTCAAATGTGTTTCCAAGCCAGTGGCCTTGGCGGAGTGGATGTTGGCAGCAGGAATCACAATGAGCTCTTTCTCCTCCCACCCCTAGACCCTCCTGGCCAGAGCGCTTTTTGACAACCACCCAGACTGCTCCTACGAGCTGGCTTTCTGCAGAGGAGACATCTTGACCATTCTGGAACAAAACGTGCCAGAAAGCGAGGGCTGGTGGAAGTGTTTGCTCCATGGAAGGCAAGGTCTGGCCCCTGCCAACCGCCTCCAAATCCTCCCTGAGGCCCCAGACAGGCCGTGTGCCCCTTTCCTGAGAGGCCTGGAAGAACCTCTCACCCACTCCAAGGAGACCTACCAGGTGCCCACCCTGCTCAAGCCCCCGACTCCAGGCCCTGTGTACGAGGACATGAGGAGCTGGGTGGAGGGGCTTCCACCCACCACCGCCCAAGTCTGCGAATTCCCTGACCCACCGGCGGGGGCCAGAATCGTCTGTGAAAAGACTCTAAGCTTTCCGAAACAGGTACGCATGTTTCCAGATAAAACAGATGCGTCAAGGGGTGTGTAACACCCAGGGGCTGACCTCACCCTTCAGTTCTTGGTGTCCATCAGGAGGAACCATGTGCAAAATGGGAACCTGGACCCCTTTGATTGAGTGATGACAGGTGGGCTTGTATTGGCCCCCAGTTTGCTTCTTGCTGATATTCTCGGCACCCCAGTGACTTCCCCCCACCCCACCCCAGCTCTCCAAGACGCCCATGCTTGGTGGGAAATTGAATGCTTAGCGGGGGTATTTATGAAAGTATTAAGGACCTTTGCCATGGCCCTTTGAACACTAGGACTTCTAGTGATGGATTCAAAGGCAAGTAATTACCCAACAGATTTAACATCTAGATTCCCTTCAGCCAAGAAACTTCCAGAATTACTACAGAAATACCCAAGGAGGCAAACATATATTTGAGTGGAGGAGGCCATGGCCATAATCGCACTTTTTGTTATAGGGAAAAATCGAAGATGCCTATATGTTTGTTAATGGGGGGACTGGTTATATCAATGTTTGCAACATACTGGGCACTTGTCGAAAGAAAGATGAAGTCGTTCTAGGAGGCATGTAGAAGGGGGAAAAATAACCATTTAAACAAAACCAACCAAACAAAAACTAAAAAAAGAAAAAGAAACCAGATGATCTGTGTGTATATATGTGTGTGTGCTCATTCACTGACTAAGGTTCCCTTGGGAAGTAGAGCTGGTCACTCGTATGGTCCCTGTGCCTGCGACTGTGCCTGGCTTGGGGCGGGTACCCAGTCAAGGAGCAGAGAGATCAGAAAGTTGGTTTGTGTGTTATATACAGCATGTATGACATCAGCAGTTTTCAAAAATAGCAATTAAAAAGAAACAGAGGAAAAGAAGCACTAGGTAAATGCAAAATGAAAACTTTTTTTTTTTTTTTACTGGAAAGGAATTTAAAGAAGAAAGGAGAAAAACAATGGATTGCTGTCCCCAGGCCTAGGCTTTGATGAGGTGTTAAGCAAGCAGAACAGATCTTCATGGTCTGGGGTCACCGTGGGGATTTCCTGCAGCTTGGTCTCACCTGGCCTGAGCTCAGGGCAGGGGTCCTGGCAAGGTCTGTGTCCAGGACGGCTGCCGCCCCCACCCTGTCCCACCCTGCCCCTGATGCACGAGCTGGGGACCCTGGGAAGGTCTTGCTAGCCTTCCCCACAGCACCTCCAACCACAGAAAGGAGTTGATTTCTTTTCTTTTTTTAAATTTGAAGGTATTTTGCTTTGTTTTGGTTTTAGATTTTATTTATTTGAGAGAGAGAGCATGAGAAGGGGGAGGGTCAGAGGGAGAAGCAGACTTCCTGCTGAGCAGGGAGCCGGATTCGGGTCTCGATCCCAGGACTCCAGGATCATGACCTGAGCCAAAGGCAGTCGCTTAACCAACTGAGCCACCCAAGTGCCCTGAAAGGTGTTGATTTCTTAAAATATTTTGAATACTTCAGATTTTCTAACCCCGGGGCTGCCAGGCAGAGAAGTAGACATCATTTGGGCACAAAACCGCTGCGGTTCAGAGGGGCTGACTACAAAGCCCCGTCGGAAGCGGGTCAAGCCTTCTGCAGCAGCCCACGAGGTGGCCCTGGGACAGCTGGCCCACCCAGCTGCTGCTGGAGCAGCTGACTCAGAGCAGGGGCCTTGGTGGTGGGCCCTCCCCCCACAAGTGGCCTCTGCTGAAGTTAATTTGGGCTTCCCCCTCTCCCTAAAAGGCAAACGAGGGCTGCGTCTGCTGTTCACCAGCTGGCCCTGGCACCTGAGCCCCGGGCAGGCAGGCTCCTACCACTTGAATGTTTGCTAAATGAATGAAGTGACCGTGGACCCCAGCTTCTAGACAGGCATCATGATAAAGAGCAGGATGCATTTACTCTCTCACCCTAACTCAGCACAGGGTCAGGGCATTGGCTGGGAGATGTGTCCTTGACATGAAATGTGTCTGATGGGAGCCCTCCCCTATGCATGGCTGCGGCCGTGGGCAGAAACCACAGCCCGATGGGGGAATTCAGAAACCAGGGGCTCTTGAGGTGGGCCCAGTAAAACACCTGGGGAACTTTCCTGCCTTTTTCTCCTATTTCCGTTTCCTCCGTGGCTGCCCCATCAACATTTCTGCTCCTTCCTCCCCAACATTTTATTTCTATCGCCTTCTCTGTGCTTGGGGGGGGGAGGGTCTCTGAGAGCAAGTGATGCCACCTGTGATTTGGAAATCAGCAGTACCAGAGGTCACCTGGCTTGTGGGGCAGCCACCGCCACGGTGGGAGAGTGGACCAGTCCCAACATCCCTCTGTACCTCTCTGTCTTGCCCATTTCTAAGGGCTCCTCAAACTTGTGCCTTCTAGTGATTCTAAATAATTCCACTCCTTCTACCCCAAGAAGAAAGGAGCTAGAAAGAGTGGATGAAACCCAGTTCAGAAGCTTCTTCTCCACAGTAGAGGCAGACCTTGCTGCCCCGTCTGTGAGTTGGGGGGTAACTCGGCAAATCCGGCCTCTAGCTTTGAGCTGTTTTCCAACGGGCAGTTCACAGGCTGGAACTGGCCCAGGTGACCTGTTTCACAGACTGCCCTTAGCCCTGCATGACGACCACTAGATTAAGGTTAGCCAAAAATTAAAAACCAAGGAGGTGAAAATACGTCCCTTTTCTCAAGTTCTCTAATCAAGGAATCCACGTGTCAGGATCAGACGTCTGTGTTGCTGAAAGAGACCGCGGTGGGTCCTGAGAACGACTCATCATGTTAGGAACGAGGGAACCAATTCCCAGGGAGGTGATGGGGCCCAGCCAGGGTCCCAGGAGGAGGAATTCCAGGGACCAAAGCTTCCCTGTGCCCGTGTGTGGCTGCCGATGCCCCTGGACTCGGCTTGCCCTTGTGCTGCCTTTTCCTAACTCTGTGGCGACGCTATCTCTTCTTCACAATTAGCTTTTTACTGAGACGTAACCTCGAGATCCTAAGGGGGTAGCTTAGTCACTGGATCCAGATGGAGAAACAGAACAAAAGCAGCCCCCAGAAACCCCTCACGATTTCTCCTGGTCACTTCCTCTAGGGGAACCACTGGCTTGAGCTTTGTTTTACTTTTTATTACAACTTCCTTAATATAATATGCTGGCCTGACTTTTTTTTCTTTTTAATCACCATACAAAGAAACCATTTGATGTTGGTTTGAAAGGGGAATCTTTCATATTTCAAGTAAAAAGGATCCAACTTCCTGGTGGAATTATTCTCAGACCCACTAGTTCTGAACTGGAATTTCCTTCTGTGCCCCTAAACCTTTTGAAATCATGGTTCTAAAGCATGTTCCTTAATTGATTGCCACCTTGAACCTCCGTGTTCCAAGAAACACTGGGCATTTCTGAACCAGCTTCCTCCACCTGAAATTCCACACCCAGGAAAACCCCTTTGTTCTCTGTGGGTGGTCTCCCCACAAAGTCAGCTACAGAAAGACAAGGGGCTTGGGGTTTTAGGGGGTAAGAGGCAGTGGGGGTGCATTTGGAAAAGCTCTGTGGTAGGGGAGAGCTTGGGGTGTCAGCACAAGCAGAGGTGGAGGTAAGGGACCATGGCCCTTTATATACCGAGGGCTGTCTTGATGGGCTCTCTGCAAAACAGGGCAGTGCGTCAAGGGTCAGCCTCGGCCCAGACTGCAAAGCAGACTGCTCTCTCCTTGGGATGGGGTACATGGGGAATGTCCCATCTGATACCCCATGTTACAAGCTCCACGTTGGGGACGGAAAGCGAGCCTGCTTCTCTCAAGAGAGCGGGATGTTCTCTTCTCACTGACATGACTTCAGTCTGCTGTGCTCCCAAGAGTCCAGGATTTTAGAGAACCAGCTTTCTCTGTGAGTACGGAAGAAGTCATCACTCGCCGGAAGGTTATTTGGAAACTTGACAGCTGTGTTGTGGGAAGGAATGTCTGCCCGTTTGCTTTGCACCTGCTTTATCTGCATCCATTATTCCAGCCTGACGGGTGGTGGGACCTCCTGGTCCCCCACCTCTGCCTCAAGCGGTGCACTTTCTTTTACCCAAAACAAGCAAATAAAAAGAAGATACTCGCATTTCTTTCATGCCATGTGGGTCCCCCTGGTGAGCAAAGGGACGCTGATCCTGTCCTCATAAGCTGCTCCACCACCGGCCCTCCCCGTCTGCACAGACTCAGGTCCTCACCAGCCACGCCATCCAATTCAGAAAGCCCTATCCAGGGACAGGTTCCTGGGGACCCGGTGGGAAAGCGGGCTCCCTCTGCCAGCCTCTCCGGACTTGACCCTTTCCTCTCCTCAAGGCCCTGTCTTGCTTTCCAGCCTGTGTCCTGCCTGTGTCCACACATTATTCCTCCCCTGTTAGACCCTGACCCTGACACACAGCACCCATTCCCCTATAAAATCACCCATTCCCGGGCCCCTCCTGGAGACGTCCTTGTTTGAGAGAGGTCTGATGTGGAGCTGGGCAACTGTATCATTCTGAAGTTCGCCCTGCCGTGGTTTCCCTGCCCAGGTCTGGAAGCTGCGGCGGGGAGCAGCCAGCGTGGTACCCGGTGTGGGGACACTCATGACTTCTAGAGGATTCACTGGAGTCCAGTGATAGGCACAGCCACCATGGCTGAGGGCCACCCTTGGTCCCGTCTCCTCCTGCTGCCCCATTGACCCTCATCCCCAGCGACACGTCCTGCGAGAGGCCCCCTGCCCCCTCCCCACCCCCACAAGTCCCTCCACTTTACACCCGGACCCACCTGCCTGTCCGGAGCGCCGCGGCGGCCCCTGCGCCATCATATGAATAGTTAACACCCCAGACTCGAATCACAGCCTCGATCCCTCGAGAATATCAGAATCACCTGGGAAGTTCCCTGATACTGCAGATTCCCAGGCTCCCCGGCAGGACTCAGAGACCCCAGTACCCCGGACGCGGGGCCCGGGAATCTGCATTCTAGCCTGCTTCCCACGTGGGGCTGACGCAGGCAGCTGTGGGCACCCCGCCACCACGGGGCCTCCCCCCCAACCGCCCAGGCCCGCGGTCGGAGTGAAGGGCCGCCAGTCAGGGGTGGGCGCAGGGACAGGGCCTCTGCGCTATCTGTCGGGGCTGCCTTTGCTGGGCGAGGCTAACTTGGAACTTGATCTGTGAACTCTGCGGTGACATCTCCTTCCCTCGGCTCTTCTCTCTCCAAGGCCCTCTTCACGATGCCCAGACCTGCTCGGGCCTCGTTGCCAACGCTGCCTTCTCAGGTGTACGACGTGCCGGCCCAGAGCCGGGGCCCCCCAGCCCCGAAGGTGAGTGTTGGCCTGGCCCGGCTGTGGGGTTCCCCTAGGCAGGCAGATTGTTTTTCCGCATTGGGGCAAGCTGCGCCCCGCCTCTCCTCTCCCTGCACCTGCCTCCCCCGCCCCCCACCCCACCCCACCCCGTGGCTGAGCGTCTCTCACCCACAGGTGCCAGGTTCCCAGGGGGCTCCTCCCTAGGGTCGGGGGCAGGCCGGTCATCTCCAGGCTCAGCCTCCTGAGATATCCCACACTCCTTGCTCCAGCTCATGTGTGATCTGCCTCTGGCCCATGATGAGCACACTCGCTCCCTTCTCCAGGACACTCGCGGGGAGCACAGCTGTGCCAGCAGAACGAGGCGGCCTTGGGCACAAAAGTCTTAAATAAAGACACACACGTGCAGGAGTCACCTCACCTCACCCCGGCCCTCTTGACCCTGTCTTTACTGAAAATGGTGACATTTTGTTCATCTTGAGTTTTTCACATTGTGATTTTTTTTAATGTCGCATTCCATTATTATTTATCTTGATGACCAAGAATTTGGGGGGGGCGGCTCAACTGTTGTGGCCATGTTCTTCACCCTGATCCCTGCCCAGGAACAGGCCATCCCCAGCACAGCCATCGGATTCTCACCCTAACCTTTGCCCATGCCGGAGTTAGCCCCTGTGCACATCGACCCCACACCCAGGTGGCACAATTCATCACTGAAGGTCCCGTTGGTGCCCTTTCCACTCTGCTTGAGGGGAACGAAATGCATCCCACCCTTCCCCTGTGGGGAGGAATCAGTGGGAAACTCACAGGTCAGCTTTCTCCAAAGAAAACCCCTCTCCAGAGTCCAGCTCTTTCTTTTTTCCTCTCTCTCTCTTTTTTTAAAGATTTTATTTATTTATTTGTCAGAGAGACAGAGAAAGAGCACAAGCAGGGGAAGCAGCAGGCAGAGGGAGAAGCAGGCTCCCCGCTGAGCAAGGAAACTGACATGGGACTTGATCCCAGGACCCTGAGATCATGACCTGAGCCGAAGGCAGACGCTTAACCGACAGAGTCACCCAGGCATCCCAAGAAGGCATCTTTTTAAAGCACAAAGTCCACATTGTTGGAAACAGAACTACATAAACTTCCACCATGTGAACATCATGACCAAAAGCCCCAAATTCCTTGGTGATTTCTGTTTTCATTTGGAAACAAAACAAAACCAAAACCAAAAAAAATGCTGGTGTGGGCAGAATTTGTGATGCGCGTCCATCGGGAAGGAAAAATCCAAGTTATCCTTTTCTGTCTTTCCCCCAGGAGCCAGAGAAGAGGCAATTGTATGATATACCCCCCAGCCCCCAGAAGGCAGGACTGGGTCCCTCAGCCAACCAACTGAGTGTGAGTATGACGAGGCACAGAGATTTGATGCTGGGGAAATGGGAGCATCCTCTGGGATGTTTTATTAGCCTGGTCAGATTGGGAAGGCAAATTCCTCATAGTAGAGCTGATTTCATTTGAAACCCCTGATGGCAGCGGTGTTCAGGAACAAGGTAAGCAATGTGGTTTGGGCAAGTCCTCTACCTTCTCTGTGCCTCAGTTTCTCATGACGGACTAATTGCGAGCATTGAGACAATCCCCGCAGACGACCCAGTACAGGTGTAGTGCTTGGCATGGAGCAGAAGCTCAGTAGATCTTAGGTAAATGCCTCCTCCTCTCCTTCTCCTTCTCCCTCTCCTCCTCTTGACTTGGTTAGTCTCTGAACATCCACTTCCTGCTGACAAAGAGCAGAACTCTGTATGGGGTCACATGTAGTTGTTATTGCTGAATTTTTTTAAAGTTTGGCTCTGGCTCCAAAATGTCCTAGTAATAGTATATTCATCCTGACAAATAATTATACCTTAACCTGTCAAAGGCTTCCTCCTCCTCTTCCTCCCCCTTCCTCTGCCCCTCCTCCTCCCCTTTTCCCCCTCCTCCTTCTCCTCCTTCTCCTCCTCCTTCTTTTTCTTCTTCTTCTCCATCTCAGAGATATGCTGTGTTAAGGTAGATTTTTATTTGTTTATAGGGGACACACCTTAATTTGAAAATCTGGAATCCACGTTCATCGTTGAATTGTCACACATTTACAGTACATATACCTACTCCCAAGTGTTCTGGGGGAGGCCTTACAAAAGAGAAGTCATCTCCGCAGTATCGTGAGGAACGTAGAGGAGGTTGTTAGAGGGAATGGAAAGCGTTAGGCGGCCATGTAGAACAGAAGGACTAGTTTGAGCAAAATGAACCATGGTGGGCTAAGAGAGCACTCTGAGTTCAGGGGAAGTGAACCGCCGGGGTGACTGGACCCCTAAGGAGGCTGGTGCCTGCCCTGGTGGGGAGGCTTCAAGGCAGGTACAACCGGATAATGAAGGGCCTTGAGTGATCATGACAATGGGGAGCCACTGAAGGTGCTTGAGGAGGGGAGTGACAATCAGATTTCTAAGAAGCACAATACCCAGCACTTAGTAGGCCCTCAGCGTGATGTACATTTGTCACATGGGTTGCTCGAATCCTCTTTTTATTGCTTCTGACCTGGGCATTTTTGTGTGGTTCTTCACAGAGAGAGTGTGCTCCCCTGACATCAGCGATCGCTGCGAGGCGAGGTGGCTACAACACGTTACCCAGCCCCCAGAAATCAGAATGGATTTATGACTCGCCAGTGTCTCCAGAAAAAGCTGACGGCAGAAATGCATCTCTGAGCAGCTTTGTGGAAGAGTCAGAGCTCCACTGTCCCCCGGGGCACATGTCCAGCTTCCAGAATCCTCTGAACAGCAGAGCAAGGTCCCACTATCTGCACCTACATAAAAACGTGCCCATGAAGAAAAAACTCAGCCTCCCCGAAATTCCTTCCTATAAAGCCCTGGCACCCAGGGACACATTTCCCTTGGACGACGGTGCTGGCTACAAGGTGCCCTCAAGCTTTCTGATCCCCCGGGTGGAGCAGCAGAACACCAAGCGGAACATCTACGACATCCCTAAAGCGACGCCCAGCGACCCTCAGGCGGTGAACGAGCCAGGGAGAGTGGGCGGGGCTCCGGAGATCGCAGCGGACAGCAGCTCCTGCTGGTTCTCGGGCCGGGCCCCCTCGCTGTCTCCGGACCCGGAGCGGCTCTCCGTCTCCAGCTCGGACAGCAGAGCCAGCGTGGTCTCCTCGTGTTCCTCCACGTCCACGGACTCCTCCTCTGGCTCCTGCTTGGAGGAGTCAGGAAAGGAGCTCTCCTTGGACCCGGACTTGGCCAGAGAGACGGTCGCGGCTTTGCAGCACGAGGTGGCCAGCTCTGTCGCCAGCCTGATGCTCTTTGTCAGCAGGAAGTGGAGGTTCCGAGACTACCTGGAGGCCAACCTCAGCGCCATCCGCAGCGCCGCCGACCACGTGGAAGAATCCTTGAGAGCGTTTCTGGATTTTGCCCGCGGGGTCCGTGGGCCCGCCTGTAACCTCAGCGACACCAACCTTCAGGCCAGGATTAGGGACCAGCTACAGACCATCTCCAACTCCTACCAGATCCTGCTTGGGACAAAGGAAAGCCTGGATAGCTGCAAGTGGTCCTTGGAAGTCCTTGTGACGGACAAAATCCAAAACAGCCCAGATGACCTCGAGCGATTTGTCATGGTGGCACGGATGGTTCCAGAAGACATTAAGAGGTTTGCCTCCATTGTCATTGCCAATGGGAGGCTCCTTTTCAAACAGAACTGTGAAAAGGAAGATACCTTGCAAATGACCCCCAATGGACAACTGAAACTTGCAAAATGCATCCAGCTTCCCCAAAGGGAAATTGAACGGGATGAAAGAAGTACTCCTTTTAATAAACGAAAGGAAAATGAACACTCCCCTGAGCTACTAAAGAAAAATGGGACAATTATGTGTGAATCGGTGAGTTCAGGGTGGTATAATATAAGGAGGCTTTCAAATTTTATCTGGAGTGGTCTCCCATCAGTTAGATGCTAAGAAACTTTCACTAACTGTTAGATAGTTCAATAATTGGATATTGAAAGATACTCATCTTTCAATAATTTTTGAGAGACATTGGTTCCATTTTTTAAAAAAATAAAATTCATGAAAGTAATGTTCTAAATGAAATCTTATTAAGAAGTAAGATTAAGGGGCGGCCTGAGTGGCTCAGTGGGTTAAAGCCTTGGCCTTCCGCTCAGGTCATGATCCCAGGGTTCTGGGTTTGAGCCCCACATCAGGCTGTCTGCTCAGTGGGGAGCCTGCTTACCCCTCTCTCTCTGCCTGCCTCTCTGCCTGCTTGTGATCTCTGTCTGTCAAATAAATAAATAAAATCTTTAAAAAAAAAAAAGAAGTAAGATTAAACACTTTAATATTAACGCATGTAGGATGTCTTCTGGAAAGCCCCATGGGGTTTATCCCTAATAGAGTTAGGAAGGACTTTGAAAACCTTTTGAAATCTGTTCCTTGAGCCCCTTTTTTAAATCTCACCACCCAGTTTCCTTGCATTTTTCAAAGCTGTTGATTTAGTCATTGTTTTTGTGTTTCTTAGAAACAGAAGAGGAAGTGTAAACACCCTTCCGACTGCCTATGGTTTTAGCAGCCTCCAGACTGCAGCTACTGTTAGAAATTCTTTGCTGCATGAGTTTGGACTCTATAGAAAGAGAACCTCTTGTTCAAGGATTGCGAGAGCCAAGAGGCATGGCACGTAACCTGGGGATAACATGACTTGGCCCTTTTAGCCCTAGTCGTGCATAGTATTTTGTTAAAGTGTATGCTGGTTAATATTACAGCTTTCACACATTCTAGAGAAGCTAGAAATTTGGGTATTTCTCATTCCCTAATTTAAAAATATAGACATAGATATAAAGTGGTATAATATACATAAATATAAATACAAATATAAATGTATATATAATTTTTTAAAAACTCATATGTCCTTGTATTAAGCCGTGTTGGTAGGCAAAATTCGGTCCTTGGTCTTGCAAAGTCTCCTTTGTTGAAAAAAGGCATCAGCCCTCTGAAACTAATATACTAATATACTACATGCTAATTAATTGATTTTAATTTTAAAAAGGCATCTGGAGGCAGAACCACTGACAAAAATATAAAGAGAAATGTTCAAGTTTTTTAAAATGGACTTAAATTCTTCTGTACAGGGGTGCCTGGGTGGCTCAGTAGGTTAAAGCCTCTGCCTTCAGCTCTAGTCATGATCCCAGGGTCCTGGGATCAAGTCCCACATCGGGCTCTCTGCTCAGCAGGGAGCCTGATTCCTCCTCTCTCTCTCTCTCTCCCTCTCTGCCTCTCTGCTTACTTGTGATCTCTGTCTGTCAAATAAATAAATAAAATCTTTGAAAAAAATACTTCTGTACAGTGTAAAAACCACTCACATTGGTAATTGGAAGAGATTTCATTTTTCAGAAGTTGTCTAACCTAGAAGAGACAGAAAAACCCATCTCGGAAGGAAGGTTGGATGAAAACAAAAACTTGGAAGGACAGGTAAGTGATAGCGCTGTGTCTCCCAGACTTCTGACTCACACACTTTTTATCCCTCAAGATGCCTCCTGCTATGAACAAGTTGGCATGCTAGTCATTACCCCCTTGGGAGTAGCTGTTTTTGTGACAGTTTTTCCTGTTTGCGGTAGAAGGAGCCCTGAACAAGTCCAGTGAACCCCAGGACATGGAGCACGAGTCTTGAACCATTGTGACATAGTTCTCGGCTGTCTGCAGGTTTATCACAGGTGGGACTGACCTGACCTTTGGCAGCTCGGACTCACACTCCCTTTGACATCCTCTTTTAATGCTTCTGATTACAGTAGAAAAGATATTTTGGTTTGGAGCTTGTGTATCATCAACACCTTTTTGGACACTTGATGTTTCTTTTTCTTTCTTTTTTTTTAAGTCAAAGATGTTATCATTGTGCTTATTTTTATTGGTTACCTTCTACTGGTGGCAAATGACAATGATTTTCCAGTTACCAATTTGAAGCATTTCCGTTAAACAAATATAGGTAAAACCAGTGAATTCCTTTAAAGACAAAGATGAAGCAAGTCAGGTTAAAAGGGAGACAAAAAGGGCATCACTTGTGAAATTTGTCTGAGTACCTGAAACCTGGGATCACTGAACCAGATCAACTCCCCTGCTGGGGGTGGGTGGGGGTGGAGGAGGGAGGATGGATGTCTCATGACATGGACAAGATCGTTCATTTTCTTGGGGGCAAACTGGGACAAGAACCCCAGGCTGGAAGTCCTAGGTCAGGGAGCCAGCATGGTCAGATCCTGGGGAGGGCTCTCCTCTGTCTTCTCCTGTCCTCTCGTGCAGAGAGCAGAGAAGGGAAGTGACCTCTGACAAGGGCACTATTCCCATCACAAGGCCCCACCCAAATGGCCTCATCCAATCCCAGGTACCTTCCACGGGCTCGTATCCTACTACCTTCATGTTATGGGGTAGAGTTTCAACAAAGGGGGAGAGGCACAAAAAAATCAGACCCTCACACTGTCAGTGCTTCCAAGCTATGAATTTTGAGATCGAAGGTAGATGAGAGAGAGCAGTTTAACAAAAAGACTTAGCTGGCTCAACTTAGAGCTCTGGCTCTTCATTTTGCTAAATGAATGACCATGGGCAGGCCCCCCACTTCAGAGAGCTCCAGTCTCCCCACCTGGCCTAACGAAGGGTCTTTGGATGGTTACCTGGAGTGGCTGCCTGTAAGCTAGATGCTGAGAACTTTTCAACAGTGCCTAGGCTTTGGGAGGACACTGGTTCCACATTTTGGAAAATACAACTCATGGAAGTAAAATTCTAGATGAAATCTTATTAGAAATTTGGAGAAATAGGGACACCTGGGTGGCTCAGTTGGTTAAGCAGCTGCCTTCGGCTCGGGTCATGATCCCAGCGTCCTGGGATCGAGTCCCACATCGGGCTCCTTGCTCAGCGGGAGCCTGCTTCTCCCTCTGCCTCTGCCTGCCATTCTGTCTGCCTGTGCTTGCTCTCTCTCCCTCTCTGACAAATAAATAAAAAAATCTTTAAAAAAAAAAAAAGAAAGAAAAAAAGAAATTTGGAGAAATATCATAATATTAAGGGAGCTAGGCCAACATACTTGGATTTCTTCTAGAAATTTTGGGGACTCAGGTTTACTGCTGATAACAGAATTAAAGATTTTTCTTAAATCCTTTAAAATCTGTTCTTCGAGTAAATTTTAAAATCTCACCATCAAGTTTTCTTTTATTTTTTTTAAGTTATAGATTTAGACATTGCCTAATGTTTTATCTAATGGAATGGGCAGCTAATGGTTTGTTGGGAGTACTAAATAAGATTTTATATGCTTAATATGTGAAATTATATAGACAACACAATATGTAAGATTGTATATATAAATATTATAATTCATATGTTAACAGTGCTTTGAAAAGATTAATTTGTTAGGTACATGGTGCACTGCGGAGCTTCCCAAACAAAACTGTGTTTTTTCTTATAAAAAGTCTAGAAAATTGAGCAAACAAGGAAACGGGAGACAACCACAGCCTGGTGATCAAATCTGTCTCTTACCAATGGTTTTCTTCCCTTTTCCAGAATCCTAACTCCCTCATCCTGCAGCCTTTGAGCCAGCAGAATCCTGAGAAGAGATTCCAACTTTCTGAACACTGTCGGCTCTATTTTGGGGCGCTCTTCAAAGCCATCAGCGTATTTAACCACAGCCTCCGCAACAGCCAGCCCCCCGAGGTCTTCATCACGCAGAGCAAGCTGGTCATCATGGTGGGGCAGAAGCTGGTGGACACGCTGTGCAAGGAGACCCAGGAGAGGGACGTGCGCAACGAGATTCTCTGCGGCAGCAGTCACCTGTGCAGCCTGCTCAAGAACCTCGCACTGGCCACCAAGCACGCCGTGCTCAAGTACCCCAGCCCCGCAGCCCTGGGGCACCTCCAGGCCGAGGCCCAGAAGCTGGAGCAACACACTCGGCAATTCAGAGGGACGTTAGAATGAGCCTCCTTCCCCCTTTTTCTCCTTCTTAACCTCTTAGCCTCAGCTTTCCCAGCCTGACATGTGCAACTCTGTCCTACAGGCAAAGCCAACCTGGGGACGCCCCAATGAGTACAAGCTGGTATTATCAAGTGGCTAAACAACCCCAGGACATTGACTTAGCCCAGAGAAGTCCAGGTATTAAGAAAGAACTTTGCGGAGTTTTTAGTGTAGCCTGTGGGGTCAGTGTACGCAGGGATGTTGTAGAAACCAATTTTATATTGGTCAAATGTATGCCTGCCTTAAAATCATTCATTCAGGACTTATTTATTGGGCGTCTACTTATGTCAGATTCTAGGGGCTGGGCATATAGCTGTGAATCAGAGACCTTGCCCTCAGGGAGCTTACAGTCTAGTGGGGAGATAGACGATAAATGATAAAGAATTACATGCACAAATTGTCAGATGTTAGCAAGACGGTAAAGGAGGAGAGACTTATTCTCAAATGACGAATTTCTGTTGCATCCGTTAGCAAATGTGATAAGTTTTTCATTTTGAATTGAATTAAGTCTGTAAGATTTGGTACAAATCATGTACCTGCATCTTATACAACATATATATATGCTATTTTACCTTAACTGAGTTAAAGATACACCTTATATTGACAACATAACGTGTTCTGTTGGGTTCCTTATTAATTTATTTTGTATATAACAGTCTATGTTGATAAATTCAGTATGTTTACTCAGAAAAGGCTTGTATTACAACAGTCACCGATCTGTGACCATTTGTAATGTTATGTAAATATAATCATGAACTGAAGCATTCTCTGTAGCAATCCTCTCTTCGGAAAAGTTGGTGATCCTTGTCACCCAGGTTCTGATATCAAAGCGAAGCCACCCATGTTTACTTTTCTTATTCAAATGTTTCTCCCCAAAGTGTGCAAGGAGATGCCGTAGAGGCCAGGTGCTCATGCACAAGGCTAGTGTGGCAAAAACAAAGCCATCACTTGTGGTGAGGCAACGGGAGGTGTGGTGTGGACAGGATACCCATTGCTGGGCACAGATCTGAAAGCGGTGCAGAGCTCCCCTCAAGTCAAACCACCTGCTCTTCCTCTCCTTGCAGCTGGGTCTTCAGCTCATGTTGCTATGGTGACACCATCTCTGCTTTGCTTCAAGTGAAGGTCCGTGTCTCCTATATACATCTCAGCCACTAAACACCTTTGTAACCTGGAACCAGCATCCTCAGGCTGGAAGTCATCTGAAATGTCACCAGCCTGCCCGCTACTCTGCACTTAGCAGGCACTTCTACGTGGTTGCTCCTAGGGTCTCTAAAGGAGGATCACATCTTTGTGAAGCTTGCTGGGTTCTCTATACTAGAACAGAGATGCCGCATTCTTTGAACAGCTGTGATCTGTATCGGCAAGAACTCCTATTGCAAGTGATCAAAAACCATATCCAACTTTTCTTAAGCAATAAAGGAAAGTTGTTGACTCAAGTGTCTTAAAATAACCCAGGGACAGACGGGCTTCAAGGACAGCTGGTGTGGGTTGCCCAGTTTTTCAGTCCCACTTTCTCTGTGTTAACTCTCATGATTGCAAAGTGGCTGCCCCAGGTTATGTCTTTGGTTTGTGGCTGGAAGAGAAGAAAGAGGCTTGATTCTACTTGGCCTAACTTAGAGCAGATGCCTTCCCCTGAAATCCCCAGGACAAGGAGAGAATGTAGTACTCAGGTTGACCTAGACTTGGGATTCACCCCTCCCCATGTGTACATGCATGCGCACGCATACACACACACACACACACACACACACACACACACACGTGTCCTGAGAGAGGGAAAGAATAGCCTTGCCAAGAGCTATGACATGTCTGGGATCCCCCTGCTTTAAATTAACAAGTTAGCCTGCCACTTTCATGGATATTTCAAGAAGACATAAGATTCTGGGGTCAACAACTATGTCTGGGGTCCCCAAGACCATGGCTGGTCCAGTGATTCACAAGGAGGAATCCCAAGACTCAGCATTGTGTTCCTACTCATGACTCTGATCTAGTACAGTGAAAAGAGACAGCAGAGGGAAAAGCTCAAAGAGTTTGGTACAAAGGAAACCAGGCTGAAGTGGCCAAGAGTCCTCTCTCTGCGGTCACAAGGGGCACTATTAATTCCCTCAGCAACAAACTGTGACAACATCCGTGAGATGTTGCCAGCCAGGGAAGGTCACGAGAGCCTCACCTCCAGGACTCCATGGCGCTGATCGTGTCGGCACTCTCTACATGGTACATTCCCGAATTCCAGACTCTCCAAAGGCAAGCAGGTGTCCAGTATGAACCACATTGTGTGTACAAACAGTTTTGGCACGTGGACCCATTCTCAACTCCAGGGATGGTGGGAAGCCTCCCCAAATCCAAGTTTTTACAAACAACCAAAGGCCATCCTGGCAAGCCAGCCTTTCTAAGAATATTATTTAGGCTTGCTATGTCAACTCTTCTGCCCAGAGACACGGGATTATCCTTATAGCCTTGCAAGCAGCTTATGCTTATATCATTTCCACCTCACCCCATGTCCCAGGGCAGAGCAAAAGAGGGCACGGGTGATGCCACGCGCACACTGAATTTGTGCCAAAGCCGAAGAACTTAGCACAGGCAGCCCCAGTCTTTCTTAGCAGCCTCTGCCCAAACCGAACCAAGACTTGCCTTAGAGGCAGGCAGGACCTTTACGATACCGGACAGCAAACCTGCCTTTGTGCTCTGGAGAAAGACACGATCTCTGTCTTCTAAGGCTGTTTGCTGAAATCACCTTGAAGGGGTAATTCAGAACAAAATTTCATCAATGCCTGTGCTGGAAGGTCATGCAGGGTCAGGGACGGTGCAGGGAGGCACTAGTATTTGTATTCCAGCTGGCAAGATGATTTTTGCACCATAGTAATAACAACAGCACGTATTTATTAAGGGACTACTACATTCCACATCCTGTTTAATGCTTTAGCTGTTTTAACTCTTTTGGTCTCTCATACGTGAGAGGCTCTAACAGGTAATCAAAAGATCCCCAGGGGCACCTGGGTGGCTCAGTGGGTTAAGCCTCTGCCTTTGGCTCGGGTCATGATCTCAGGATTCTGGGATCGAGCCCCACGTCCCCTCAGCGGGGAGCCTGCTTCCTCCTCTCTCTCTGCCTGCCTCTCTGCCTACTTGTGATCTCTATCTGTCAAATAAATAAATACAATCTTTAAAAAAAAAAAAAGATCCCCATTGCTTTCAGAATACCATCGATGTATGTACGCAGATAGGCAGATCAATATATATGGAGACATATCTGTCTACGTAACATTTGGGGGGAGGTTCTCTGCGTGTATTTTGAGACGAGTTCAAACCAACCAGTTCAAGCCCTTGTTGATAAAATACAAAACCATTGGGTTGAAAATAATGAAAGCTGCTGCTCTTAGCTAAATGTATTTCCTTCCCTTTTTTTTTTTTGAGGGAGGGCAGTTATGAGATGAGTTTCCTCTAATTCGATAGGATAATTGTTTCTGAAAAACACTGAAAAGTAATATCACAGTTTGTAACTTTTAACAATGTTTTGCTAAGTAGTTTTCTTTTATGCCCAGAATCCTGTGCCGCTTCCTCTCAAAGTAGGAAGAGGAAATGGTGGGTGGTGTGGTGGTGATAGCAACTTGACCTCAATTAAGCTGAATTTCATCAGGAGGATGGAAGTGGTGAGGGACCTCATTGAGAGATCTTCCGTGTGACAAGCACCGGGGAGCCATGTTTCTGCTTTGGGGGCAACTACCCTTCTTTTTTTTTTTTTTTAATAAAACATCTCTTTAAAATTTTATATTCTCCCCAAGGATCCACCCAGGTCTCCAAATCTGTCCATTTACAAAGGTTGCCCATTTGTGTAGGTGGTTTGCTAATGCCCTTTTCCTTTCTTTTATCCCTTGAACAACTATTTATTGCACATCTCCTATCCACCAGGCCTCTACTGATCACTAGAGCTGCTACAACCAGTGCAAAGAAGTCCATGTTGAACAAGATACCAAAATTTAGATTTATAACATGAGGTCAGTGGCGTGTAAGTGCAATGACGAAATTCAATCAAGGTGGTGGTAGTGGATGGAGGAATGGGGGTGGGGGTGCTCTTTTACTGGGAGAGGTCAGGGACGAAGCTCTACGGAGACACCCCCCCACCCATCCTGCCAGGAGCAGACACTGAGTCACTCAAGGGAGGCAATCTGGAAACCAGTGGGAAAAGAGTGTTCCTGGAGAAGGAACAGCAAGGCAAGTACCCAGAAGTGGAAATGAACCTGGAGCTCTCAAGGGAGAGAAGGGGCCAATGTGGCTGGAACCAAGAGGGGAAAGGGAACATGGGTGAGATCAGCTGGGATGGGGAGCCAAAGGCCAGTTCATGAAAGGCCTGTGTATTCCTGAAATATGTTTAATGTTCCCCTAAAACTGAAAATCAAAAGTAATTGCTTTTGGTCTTGAATTATGTCAGGATGAATTACTTCTAGCTTTCCACTTTATTTGACTTTAACCCTCTTTGGGACATCCTCAGAAGTGTAACCGTACATGATGGTTGTGATACTCTCGAAGAATCCTAACACACAGGCTTTTGTCATTTTTTTTCATGCTAACTCTTAAAATGAGTCACTCTGCCTTGTCCAGACAGAATTGTGAACTCCAGGTATGGGAGAGCACATGGGCAGCACTCACCGGAAATCAAACCCTCAAGGTTCAGGAGGCTGAAACATTTGGGAAAGATTGTAATAGGCAGTAGGAGCGCTTAAAGTACTTGTTCTTAGCCTGAGCCTCAGCATGGGAAGCATGAAATACATAGATGTGTAAACTGTAGCAAAATTTTCTATGTACTACCGGATATTTTTCTGGAGAGTAAGTGCAAAGTTTTCATCAAATTCTCTATCAGGTCCAAGGACACCAAAGAGGTTAAGAAATACTGGTTTTGCCAGAGGATGATGGTTTTCTCTTTCCTGGTTTTATTCCTCTCCTGTCCTTTAAATCCACAGTTCAACTGGGGCAAATCGCAAAGATCCTTGCAAGGGAATATACTGCATTAATTCATTCTGCAAAAACAGTGGAAAGTAGCAGCAGCTAACGACACCAGCGTGTCACCGTGCCTGGGACAAAACAGCTCAAGTCACGGAGCTGACACTCAGCCAGCTCTCAACACAAATGAGTTGCTGTTGATGATATTAACTCTACAAACCTTAAGCTGTGTATTGTCTGCAGCACAGAGTAGCCTAAAAACCAATACTCTAAATGAGGACACCAAGGAGGAAGAGAAAAAAAAATCCAGCTGCCCGAGCTTCAGCATCCACCCAGCGGGCCCTGCGGGGCGCCGCAGCTTTTGGGGAGAGGCTAAGGAACATGGCATAGTCACAAGGGCCTCATCTGAGAATGTCTCCCAACCTGCACTCCTTTTACTCAACCGCTGTGTGCCCCGACCCAAGATTGTACACCTCAGTCTCAGGTCTGTCATTTGGGAAATGGAAGGCATTATATGCCCTATGTCCTAAATTACAAAGACAGAGGAAGCAGTGCCTCCAAGTCCCCCAGTGGAGTCATGGTTTAATAAAGAGTGGTTATTTTTATTTTAATTTCTCCAAATGAACTTGGTGAAGGGAAGATTAAGTCGCCAGAAAAGAGCACTGGTTTGAGAGTCTGTCTAAAGATCTTTGCATTTATGGTATTCTGTAACCTGATTTTCTGTCCTTTGGGGACAGAAGGGAGAAAACTAATCTTATAACCCAGTCCCAGCTCTCCCTCTTACTAGCTGTGGGACCTTAGGTAAGTCCCTTGATCATTCCTGGCTTTTATTTCCTTACTTGTAAACGGATTCTCATAGCACTTACACCAGATTTAGGGGCTGCCAAAACTGGACTTGTCACCCTCCCTGAATGTGTCTGTACTTCCTTTTGGTTTACTGAGGAAATGAATATTAAGTGTGTCAAAGGTTCCACTCACTGAGAACACAGAGGGGACTAAAGCGTAGTCCCTATCCTCACAGAGTTTACAATTTCTGTGAGCGGCATAAAAATAAATCATAAGGCAATGACAGACGAACTGATTAAAGGGTTTACATTGTTTTAATTCTCATTCATTGCAGTAACAGATAACCCAATGTTACAATCCGTTAAGTTTTTATATTCCGTTCCCAACTGGGGAATATTTTCAGATTTTTTTTTCCTTTTTTTTTTTATGTCTCACTTTGGTCAGCAAGGTGACATCCAATTATGTAGGTCCACCCTGCTCGCCGTGGTTAGACTTTCCCCAAATATTCCTAATCATCAAGGAACCACTGGAACGATAGTCAAGAGGATAGACGCAGACAGTCGTGGATTTTAGCAGGGGTTTTGCAAGGATCTGTGTTCTCGTTAAGACGCAGCCCGTCTCCGGGGAAAGGCAGGTAAACATCAGTGTGGCTTTTACACCGGCCTCTCTTCACTGTACCTGATTATTAGTAAATAAATACAGGAGGCTGCGAACCACACACATGCACGTACAGACTCTTTGCAACTTTCCCCCATAGACCGTACGCATGGCACGTCAAAGCTCCGGGCCTCAGAGGATCGTACGTCCCCAGAATCTCCTTCAACTCCACGTCACAGGATTTGCTGCGAGCGCTCAAGCCACCGCGGTGCTCCGTGCAAAGTTCTCGTTTAACCCCCCGGGCGCCCTTCACCTGCACCGTAGCTGCATTAACAAAATGCAGATCCTTCCGTCGCGGCGCTGCCGCCCCAGGACGCGCCAGACCCACAGTCAGACACGCTAGGGTGGGACGAGGCGTAAGGAAGGGGGGTGCTCCCGAGTCACCCTCGCCCCCCGAAGCACCCCTGCACCCCGAAGCGCGGCGAGCGATCGCCGGGGCGCAGCAGAAACCCTGCACCCACCGGAAGGAGGGAGGAACCGGTCGGGCGCGGAGATGCGGACGCTCCGCCTGCCCCTGAGCGGGCGAGGACCCGCTAGCGTTCAGGCAGCCCTAGCCGCCCCGCCTCGCCCAGCGCCTAGCGACGCTCTCCATGGCAACTGGGGCTTGGCAACGGATCCGCCCCGTTGCGGCGCGGCCGCCGTGTTGCGTCATCCCAGCGCGCCGGAAGTGACTGCAGCGGTCGCCAGGGCCCCCCCCCCCCCGGAAGTGGTCGCTGTGGAGTGTAGCTGCTGACTCTGACTCCTGGTTTGCGATGGGTTGCGACGGAGGAACAATCCCGAAAAGACACGAGCTGGTGAAGGGGCCGAAGAAGGTTGAGAAGGTCAGAGACATGGGTCCGGTGGGGACCAGCGATAGTGGGGTCCCTAGGGAGTGGGGGTAGGGGCGGGGAGTTAGTGGGGTTCCTGACGCCGCCGTGCTCATTTATCTCACTTGGAGAATTCCGAATTAACATTATTAGGATCAGACTCTTATTGAGTGCTTACTGTTGCCATTCGCCTGGCGGCGTGCTTAGTATGGGGTAGCTCGTACAGTTCTCACAACAGCCCTGTGGACACGTATTGCCATGATCCTCGCTTTTCAGACATTGAAATTGAGCGCCAAGAAGACAAAATTGCAACGCTGGTAAGTGGCAGGGCCAGGATTTAAAGCTTATCTGCGCCGTCAGTTACAGTGATACAAACGGCCGCTGTTTATTGAGCTTTGTACACACGTAACTTCACTTTCTCCGGGAATTCGTCCCAATGGTTCTTTTATCCACATGTGATCAGGTCCTTCTCTTATCTTACCACCCTGCACACTGCCTTCATGGCTGATTGGTGCCAGCCACAGATAAAAATAAGCTCCCTGTGGCACAGTCTTGCCTTTCCCCTGTACAGCTAGCGCAATTCCTGGCCCAGTAAATACGGTGATTAAATGAATGAGTGGATAGTTCTTTTTTTTTTTTTTTTAAGATTTCTTTATTTATTTGATAGGCAGAGATCACAAGTAGGCAGAGAGGCAGGCAGAGGGTGGCGGGGAAGCAGGCTCCCTGCTGAGCAGAGAGCCCGATTCGGGGCTTGATCCCAGGACCCTGAAATCATGACCTGAGCCAAAGGCAGAGGCTTAACCCTCTGAGCCACGCAGGCACCCCATGAGTGGATAATTCTTAATTCTCACAGGTAACTGAGAAGAACTGTATATAATAATTTTCATGCTATTAACAGCAAAATTGAGTCAGTAACATGACCAAAATCACACAATGGACAGGTAATAAAGCCAGGAGTTCCAACCATTTATTCAGGAATTCAAAGTTAGCATTGATAATTACTTTACTTTCTTAAGCCTTTATTTTTTAAATAAACTCTGTGCCCATCGTGGGGCTGGAACTCATGACCTCGAGATAAAGAGTCAAGTGGTCTACCAGTTAAGGCAGGTGCCCCACATTAGTAATTACTTTTTTCTCCTAAGATTTTATTTATTTATTTAACACACACACACACACACACACACACACAGAGCACAAGCAGGGGAGCAGGAGGGAGAGGGAGAGGGAGAAGCAGAATCCCCACTGAGCAAGCAGCCCAATATGCAGCTCCATCCCAAGATCCTGGGATCATGACCCGAGCCAAAGGCCGACTGAGCTACTCAGGTGCCCCAGTAATTACTTTTTATTAACAGAGGGCATGCAAAGTAGCTAACAGAGTGTGGCACACGTGGATGCTACACATATTCTCCAGCAGCTAGAAAATCTTTATAAAAGGTGAATCTCCTGTATCGCTACTATATTTCAAATCCTCCAGCAGCTTTTTGTCATATCCAGAACAAAATCGTACAAGGTCCTGTATGATCGGATGCCTTGCCTCTCCACCTCAGCTTCTACTCTCTCCAGGTCTTTGTTTCAGCCATACCGGCCTCTGTTTCTCAGCCCGGAGTGTAAGTTCCATAACCTGATAATGCTCTTCACTGAGATGTTCACATCATTTGTTTCTTTACGTCATTCAGTTCTTTCCTCAGATGTCATCTCAGTTCACTGTTGCCAACATACATCTCGCTTCCATCGCTGTCTGTCCTCTTTTGCTGCTTTATAGTGCTTGTTGCTGTTCTCTTTTGTGTATTGTCTGTCTTTCTTGGAAATGAATGGAGACTTTGTGTCTTACCTTTGTCCACCACACAGTAGACACCTGGTAAATGTGTTGAATTTGAGAATGAATGAACTCTCAAGAGGATGGAGGGTGCCTCTCATCACACCTACAGATGTGTAGACCAATGGCAGGTCGTTAGCATTCATGAGAGCTTTTGCCAAAAAACTATTCAGCTAGTTTTGTTAACTTGTGGCCAGGGCTGAAGAGGAGTAGCTTAATGCGAAGCTTGGCAAGGTGTCAGAAGGGGATAGAAAAGAAGAAAGCGTGATCTGAGACCAGCAGAGTCCTCAGGCAGGATGGATTTTTGTTATCCTTACTTATTCTACGAATACTTTATTTAATGCTTATCACAGACACCATTCTAGGCCCTGGGGACACAGCAGCAAACAGAGTTCAGCCTTGGCATTGCTCAAGTTTCATATAGATATATAATTAATATTTTTGATCATTCATATGGTATGTTTGGTCTGGCCAAACCATTGCTGTAATTTAAGACCTTGCCCTGAAAAGAAGAGAGACCCTGGTTTAAAAAAAAAAAAAGGTTTCAGAAGTTTTGGGGGGTTATCAATCTGGGTAAGGATTAGTTTATCACTTTTCTCCCTGTCCACAGCTCTTCCAGTTATTTTTTGAATCAGCAAAGGACTATGGGTAAAGCAGGCGAGGGATTCAGAAAGGAGATCTTGGACTTGCTGGACATGGGTTTTTTGACTCTGCAAAGGATGTAGTAAACGACTTCACTGGTGACAGGTTTCTCTTGGGGCTCCGCTACACTGTGAATTTTGATAAAAGTTATTTAAGGAGCCAAAGTATAGCCCTTGGGTCTGCGGTGTGGATAGAATAACAGTTGCTGTAGTGTGGGTTTTGTTTTTATTTTGTTCTATTTGAAATAATAGAAAAGCAGTAGAAAGTAGTGATTAAAAGCGTGGTTTCTGGGGTGCCTGGGTGGCACAGTCAGTTAAGTGTCTGATTCTTGGTTTTGGCTCAGGTCATGATCTCAGAGTCATGGGATCGAGCCCTGCCTTGGCCTCTGCACTCAACACAGAGACTCTTCCTGACCATGTCCCTCCCCCGTACTCTCTCAAATAAATAAAATCTAAAAAAAGAAAAGAAAAGAAAACCAACACAAAAACATGGTTTCTGGAGCCAGCCACATGGGTTCTTAGCTTCTTCATCTACTTGCTCTGCGACCTTGGACGTGTAACCGAACCTCTTGGTACCTCCATCTCCTCAGTAGCAGAGTAAAAAGTACTAAGTTTGGGGTTTTTATAAGGGCTAAAAGATTAAGTCACAGAAACTGCTTAACATAGCACTTGGTACACAGTAAACAAGCAGTTGTTACTGAAAAGAGTAAATTTTAGGGAATTTTTCTGTATTTTTTTCTCTTCCTACTTTCTCCCACTTGTGCCCTTCTATTATATTATTCAGATTTGGCATTTTAGGAGAGGAAAAGAGTGGGCCATGGAATATTATATAGGTGAAATATCATTTGAGGGCAATAGAAGTTCTTGTGTTTGGATTTTTAGAGTGTGGGTAAGGATTTGAGATGCCCCCTAATGAACAAGTTAAATTGGTGATTTTTTTAAAAAAGATTTTATTTATTTTTTTGACAGAGAGAGATCACAAGTAGGCAGAGAGGCAGGCAGAGAGAGAGAGAGAGGGAAGGGGCTCCTCGCTGAGCAGAGAGCCCGATGCGGGGCTCAATCCCAGGACCCTGGGACCATGACCTGAGCCGAAGGCAGCGGCTTAACCCACTAAGCCATCCAGGTGCCCCTAAATTGGTGATTTTTATAAAGAATTATATTAGTCTTGGGGGCACCTGGGTGGCTCAGTGCTTAAGCCTCTGCCTTCAGCTCAGGTCATGATCTCAGGGTCCTGGGATCGAGTCCCGCATCGGGCTCTCCGCTCTGCGGGGAGCCTGCTTTCTCCTCTCTCTCTGCCTCTGCCTGCCTCTCTGCCCACTTGTGATCTCTCTCTGTCAAATAAATGAAATCTTTAAAAAAAAAAAAAAAAAAAAAAGAATTATATTAGTCTTTATGCTGAACTTAAAAAAAATGTATATTATAAATTCTTAGTCTTTAAATTCAGCTAAAACTTTATAGCCTTTTCCATTGATAGAAATTAACCCGTATTGCTTATTTTTTCAGTATGACTTTTCTTTTTTTTTTTTTTTTAAAGATTTTATTTATTTATTTG